GTCTCCTTGAACCCCAGTGGGCCTCAGCAGATGGCCGCTCACACTGAGCCTGGTTCTGCTGGAGGTTTCTTCCTGTTCAAAGGGAATTTTTCCTCTCCAGTGTCGCTGCAAATGACTCAATTTGAATCAATTTGTCTTAATGATCTGTCGAACTGTAAGGTGCCTTGAGATGACATGTTGTGAATTGGCACTATAGAAATAAACTGTATTGAAATGAATAAGCTTGTTTGATATAAGTCATGCTTCTTTTATTGTCCAAATGTGAAAATGTTCCTTTATTTTCTGATAATTTCCTTTCTGTTTTCAGGATGACAGTGAATAGATGACCTCCATGCCTCATGTCACGCAGAGTCGTTTTCCAGCCCGCTCAGGTTTTCATGGATTGCAGGAACTCCACAGGAACATCACGCCAGTCTCTCTTAAATCGGCCTGCTGCCCTCTGGAATCGCTCCTGACAAATGGACAAAAAATGAAATGAAATATTAAAACCTGGAGTTGTTGGACTCTCATTCTGTTGCCATCATAAGTTCCCTTCTAGCATCCTCTGGGGTCTTTAGGCCATGGTTCGCAAGAAAGGTTCCCTTATATTATGCGGCGCCTTCCTGTTTGTTGCCTGGAACGCTTTGCTCCTGCTTTACCTTTGGGGCCGACCTCCCATCGGCCATCTGGGAGATGGTGGAGGAGCCGAACCGGGTGGGAATGAGGAGTGGGCCGCGATCCGGGGGAAAATGGGTCAGGGCAACCTTGCAGAGGAGATGATCCGGCTGGCGGAGGAGGTGGAAGTTCACCTTGATACCCAGAAGAAGCTCCTGAAGCAGATAGAAAGTCACAGAGCGGTGTGGGCGCGGAGGAAGGATGTTGGGAAAAGGGAAAGCAGTCAAAGAGACATCAATGAGCCAGCTGCCCACCCGCAGCGTCAGAGGACTCCAGAACCACTCAGAAAGGATGCCGGGGAGCAAACCCACACTACGAGGCTTGATAAGATGGCTCCAAGCTTACATGGAGACAACGAGCAAACCAGCAACACTAAAGTTACGACACCCAGCCCAGAGCCCATCATCCCCATCCTGGTCATCGCCTGCGACAGAGTCACCGTGAAGCGGAGCCTCGACAGGCTCCTCATGTACCGGCCGTCTGCAGAGCTTTACCCCATCATCGTCAGCCAGGACTGCGGCCACGCCGAGACGGCTCGCGTGATCGCTTCCTACGGAGAGCAAGTCACGCACATCAAACAACCACAGCTGTCCGACATCAAGGTCCGGCCAGAGCACAGGAAGTTCCAGGGCTACTACAAAATCGCCAGGCATTATCGATGGGCGCTTAACCAAGTGTTCAACACCTTCTCCCAGTCTACAGTCGTCATAGTGGAGGATGACCTGGAGGTGAGCAGCAGCAGGAAATCCACCTGTTTATTAGGGCTGCAGCTAAACATTATTTAGCAAATCGATTCATCTGTCCATAGTTTTTTGATGCCTCGATTAATTATTGGAAAGCGAAGGCTTCCTTAAAGGCCTAAGGAAATCATATATACATTTTACATCATTCAAAAATCCTGTCTTAACATCTGTGGGGGTTTTTCTTATCTTCTGCAGGCCAGTTAGTTATATTTCAGCTCTTACACCTAAATTTGGCCAATCATATATCAACGGTCATCTGTCCATCAAATTCATATGTTCATTGATTCATATGTCGCAGCTAATATACGCAACGGTTGGAATCAGAATCCTTTCCTTT